TATATATATAATTAAATCCAGTTTGCTGGGTAGCAAAACACAATATAAGCAAATAGATAAATACTAATTACAGCGTTCGAATAAGGACATGTAATGATCGAATGAAGCCAAGCTCATCAACGAAAAGTTCTCCATTTTAATTTAGCTGTATGAAAAAAGTGTCTCTGGTGCACGGGATTCGAATCTGTAGCCTTTCGCTTTCAATGTGAGTAATATATCCATTAGACCACAGAGACCTAAATGATAGAGGTAAAGATCTAACACCAAGGCTCTTTCTCTTATACAAACTGACTAAATCGCTCACACAAGTGGAGCTGTGGTTAAGCTACAAAAGCTTGTAGTTGTAGGTAGCAACTGGGAAATCATAGTAAATAATATTCAAAGATTGCTGCGTAGAACCGTAAATACCATAAACAAGAGCGACCGCTCACCAGGTCCGCTCGTTCCTGCATGCAAGTTATTATATTGGGTTTTTGGAAAGAACTAATAAGATAGACATTTTTAAATAATTAAAATGTTTATTTGTGAAAAAAAAAAAATACATTCTTAACCGACCGCGCCGATCATGCGACGTGCCTTATTGGTGGTAATGGCAATAATGTAATTTTTTAATAATTAGAATGTTTATTTGTACAAGAAAAAAATATTTAGAATGATCATTTGTACAAAGCTAAAATACTTAAAATTGAAAAAAAAAATCTTTGAATTTAGGGAAAAAAATTGAATACCAAGACGCGTCTCGAACTCACGATCTTAAGAACACATCCTTTAGAACACATCCTTAACCGAAAGTCGCGAGTTCGAATCGCGCCTCAGTGTTAATTTTCCTTTTTAATGAGAACTGTTTGATTGACAAAATGAAAAAAAAAAAAATTTAAAAAAATACGCCGATTCAAACTTGGTCAATGCGATTCGAACTCATGACCTTAAGTTCTTTAGAACACATCCTTAAACGACCGCGCCTCATGCGACGTACACCATTGCGGTAGTGGTAAATGGTAGTAATGTACAGTCCTTGCTGAAACCCCTGTTTTGTTTTTTAGGTGTATGGAGAACCCTGGGGTCCAACTAAAAAAAAGGGCGATGAACGTTTGTTTGAAATCCCTTCTAGTTTATGTGTACAAAATTTCATGCACGTCCATTCAAAGCGGGCGACGCTGGACGCTTTTAAAGTTTAAAACCCCTGTCTTGTTTTGGTGTAGGGGGAACCCTGGGTCCAACTTTTTTTTTTTGAACTTTTTTTTTAAACAAAGGGCGACGAACGTTTGTTGGAAATCACCTCTAGTTTATGTGCGCAAAATTTCCTGGACGCTTTTAAAGTTTTGGTAACAAGAACAAGAACAACAACAACAGCAGTGAGGCTCTGTGTCAGCGCTTTGCGCGGACCAGCAAATACTGTAGATAAATAATAATAACAGTGCTTGAATAGGAACATGTTGTAATTGATCGTAACAAGCATACCGGTACCGTAGCTCATCAACGAACAGTTTCTTCTATTTCAGTTGTATGAAAAAAGGTGTATCTGTCAGGATTCGAACCTACAACCTCTCGCTATCAAGGCGAGTATCATATCCAAACTATATTTCCTTCCAAAACACGTCAACCCTTTCTTTATTGTTTGTCTCCGAAACACACTATTCTTTACAATATATGAATCATACGTGTAACACACCTATGACTATCTCTGTTATTTTCCATGTATCAAGGACTAGAGCTGTCCAACTACACATGCAAGCGCGTAAGGTAGGCCTATTTGTCGCTCTAATCGGATTTGCATTACAAACAAAGCCTGAATGCCCAGTTGCGGTCGGTTGGGGAAACTTTTTTTCCTCTTAATATATATATATATATATAAACAAATAGATAAATAACAACAGTTCTAAAAACATACAACAGTGTGAGTTTGGATAGGGTACTAAAAAACTAAACGTGAGAGCTTACAGAATTAAATTGCAGAGATGAATTTTAAAGTAAAAACTTTAAGTAAACTCGGTACAGTAGATTTATGCGCACACAAACTTATATATTAATATGTACATATATATGTTTATATATGTATATATATATATGAAATAAAAAAAGCATAACAAACATAAACAACAGTAGGAACATTCATAGTCGGAAAGGTGAGAGATGAAAACTTGTGCTGGAAGATGGAAGCAACAAACTATAGTGACTGAACGATACAATAAACCAACAAGGAAATACCACATTAAGTCGATTATTATAACTTGTTTGTAGGCACTAACAATTAGGGGTTAGTATTACATCAAAAAACACCACACTGCGTTACCAATATACTCACTTGCTTAATGTAATGGTTGTATTATTTGTCGTTATTAGTGGATTAGTAAGCGGGGCGTTTACACGAGCAGTAGCCTTTGAATTGGACCTGTAAATCAATGTACATCGTAGTGGCGAAGTCTATAAATAATATTCATCGTCTAAACCTAAAAATAACTATTGTCATATTGAATTTCTGGTATTTCTAATAACACGTTTACTGTATTACTTAATGTACAAATTAAGCTACATAAATATTGACTATTTCTCAACACATAAAGTGTCATTAAAATTAGTCACTAGTTATCGTCAAAGAATGCGTATAGTAAATCAGCGGGCACGTTCTATGTAAATGAGGGCTACGCGCTCCATAAAAGAAGAACATGGATCCGGATATTTAATTTGAACGGCTGGGCTTTAATATTTGACGAATAACACACAAATGAGGTATTTTAACTTAACCTACAATTATTATTTGATTTTTTTTTAAATATCAGCAACTGCATTCGTCCATCTATAATGAAACATTCAACCATTAAGAACTTACGTTGATCGTTGATATCTTATACGTTTTTCCAGCTCCTGTCTCCATGTGTTCATGTTATTTACGTCGGATGATACTGCGTCAGTGTGTCGAACATGCTTACTTGGCAAAGAACTGGACCATCGTCTCTTCTCGGTCGAAGCTTCCACTTTATCCTAAGACAGAGTCATGCAACGTTAGGCTACTTAGACTTTTCATATCTCATAAATTAATATTTGATAAGTAGGGCTTTAAGATTGAGCCACCATATTAAGCCAGTACCCAAACAGCAGTGGCGTGTGATAGGTGGATGCGCGCGAGGGCGCGCACACGCACACCTCCACCTAAAAAAAAAAAAACTTGCGCCCCAGTCGTCACCCCACCCATTGAAAAGTTTTCGTAATCTCGAAAGCTCAGAGGAAGGCAGTATAATAGAGGCAGTAGGATAAATTGGCCCTAACGGCCGCCCATACAAAAGAGATCTATTAATCAATCAGCCGTGCAAGTTTCTAGAGCTCCTCATCGGAGCTAAAAATCACCTTATATCATTATTTTGCGAGCTAGTACCCCCTCACTTTATCATGGAGCCCCACTTCGCCCCTCCACCCACTTTCAAGACTCTTATATATACGCCACTGCTATTTTAGGTTCATGCTATTGTAGGCCTAACCATTTCAATGTGTCAATGAATTGGAAGATTATAAATGGCTCGCAATGTTAGATTTATTCTGAGGTGCAAAGGTCGAGGAAAAACAATTTACCACACATAATATTCTGTAGATTGATCTTTAAAAAAACATTATGCACGTATTTACAGATTAACATCACTTTGTTGCATTTGTGTTAACAAGTTGAGAAAACATCAGAAGATTTATTGGGAGCTAAAGACAAATCGAGAATTACTGCTATTCTTAGCTTACCGTTAATCTCGAACCACTTTGAGACAGAAGATGGTGATGAGGACCATGGATTTTCTTGTGAGCTGTTTGGATGGCTCGATGCAGCGGTGTCTTACTAGTTGGTGGTCTAAATGCTGGTGGACCACGAGGCTGCATGAAATTGTGTTAAAGTTAGTTAAATTGGAAGTCGATCTCTAAAACTAAATTCTATACGCAATCGATCTAAAAATGTTCGTTTCTGTTATAGTCCTATTGAGGTAGGCCTATACATCGGATTCAATTTCAATGAGATGCTGATACCAAAATCATATCATATATTATATCATTTATTTCATCTTCAGGTCAACACATAACGGATAAACAACAAGAAGATATAAAAACAGAAAAGGAAAAAAAATGCTATCAACACCAGACGGGATTGCTCAAAAATGGCGTTAAGCCTACTGTCTGGGAGCTTTCCGAAGTGCCGCTAGCAACAAAACAATATTGTAAGAAACATAAAAGTAAAATAAGTTGTTTAAATAAAGGTAAACTAGTGCAAACGGTGGTATAACCATGCAGGAGTTACTCTCATGGAATAACATACATACGCTGTTACAGACAAAACTTGTAGGTCTACAAAAAATAACGTCGATATGTCAATGAGCGTTCAGTGTCTTAACGGTAGAAAGTTTAGATTATTTAGATTATTAAAGACTAGAGAGATTTTGCAACCTTACGTAAACGATAACGAATACGAATGCGTCATTATCGTTATCGTCATTCTTGCCTTAAACAGTCTTTACAATTTGCTGTATGAGCTGAATATGATCCTTGATTGATGCAAAAGGTATGAATTGCCTACTTTGTGACAGATATGCAACTGTAGGCGAATGGTTGTCTAAATATTTGATGACGTAACCGTATTGGTTATCGTTTTCGTAAGCTTGCGAAAACTTTTTAATAAATTCATCAACTACACAAGCACAAATTAAATAATTATTAATGTGTGAGTAAAAAGCTGACTCATGGTCACCGAATTAATTCGGAACATCTATTAAAAAACGGTGCAACTAACAAGCTCACACATAAAAAATTAATCAATATGAAAATGCATTTGATTTTGGTTTGATGGTTGGTTAAGTGTTAAATGAACAAAACAACGGCAGATAATAAATAGACAACACCAACATTCTCTGTCAGTCATTGCATCAAGTGTGATGTGAAATAGACACCAGGAAAACGTGTTGCACACGATTGAAGAATGTTGAGGGTTTAAAAGTTTTACATGATGAATATTTATTTTATGTAAACTAAGTAACAAAGCACCTAAAAAAAGTTTTAAAATAGGTCCTACCCTTCAGTTACATTCAGTCATTGATATTTGGTATAACTGTTTTCACGATAGGCCTATTTTTTTCCCTCAAAAACTGTAAAAACCTGAATTTGGTAAAGAATCCGATTTTCAGACGTTTTGAGCAGTGCGACATTTAAAATGCCGACAAAATGTAAGGATTTGCCAAAACCAGTCACATGTTTTGTGTCTCAATTCACGTCACAATAACGTCAATCGTTTAATGATGTTTTCTCACCTTCACATGGATTCCCATAATAACAGTTGTATAACACTCCCCCCAGTTGTTGGGTGTAGTCTGTATAGTGGAGTAAAAATTTGAAACTAAAAACTAAATCTTCTGTTGTGCATAGCTACAGTAAATTTTACTCAAATCTCAAATCTCATTAAAAATTTCATTTTGAATAACATTGGAAGAATGTCGAAATGAATAAATAAATAATAAATTAGATGAATACACCGAATGTACCTGATTATGCTATTCTTTTGTTACAACCGAAATACCTGAAAGGTCAAAACATTACGACCTGGGTCCACTACTTCTATATTAAGAAACAAGAAACATTAACAGGTACAGGGGTTTGTCTTCTTCTTTTTCAATAACCCATTATACATTTATTTATTTATTTTTTATTTCGTCTAAATCTCTTTTTACAATGTGACGGATATTCGTGATTCGTTCATTTATATGGGCAAAAATAATAATATACCGTCATATCCTTGTTAAGCGTGCACTCACTGCGTCGATCGCCTCACTGTGAGTACTAGACGACCCAATGTCGTTTACTTATTTCAGTGGTATTCTGAACGGATCGTCATTAAAGACGACCCGTTGCGCGCACGTCGTTTCCATGGAATCACGTCGGCCGACGACCGTCTGGGGCAGTGAGTGCCGGCTTAAGTATGGACAGAGCTTTTATAGGCCTAAGTCTACATCAGGAATTTTGGCTTCATATCATCAACATTCCTACCTGAGGCCTCATTATATTTCGCATTAGGCTCACTTGTGACTAGAATGGATGTCGAATGCATGTCAAAATAGAGACAATGAAATGAGCATTGATTTAAAAGTTATTGAAAGGAATATTGCGATTGAAAGAAAATAGCAGGAAAATCATCTGAGATTTGCAACTATTATATGGGTATTATATTATATATTCTATATTATTGTATTTCATATCAAATAATTATCTTATCATAACTTACCATATATTATATAAGCCTATCATATATCATATTTGGCCTATACATTAATGTATATTATAATCTTTACTAACCTTTGGCGTGTAATTAACATCGACATCACTACATCCTGCGTGTGTGACGTAACTGTAGATTGGAGATGTGACGTCTTGTGAGGGCTCATCTCTCAGGTCAGTCCCATCGGTATCAAACTGCTGCAATAAAATCTCATCAGTTGATTTAGATGACAAAAGTGGTATCCTCGGCGTACTAGACATGGTTTTAAGTACAGGTACCGGTACACCTTTCGACCGGTCTTTATTAATCGTTTTTTGGTTCACAGGCGGTAGACCTACAGAAGTATGATTAGTATCTGTATTATCATTCAATAAATGATGTCTGATCATTTCCGAAAAATTATTGTCTTTGTCTTTAGCTAAGGCAGCAAATACAATATCCCGGTCGCGAGAACTCCTGAAATGCCTCTCAATGCGCGGATGGCTCTGCAACAAATCGCCAATGCTGACATTCGCTGACTTCGGTAAAACATATCCTTGATGGAGTTGCAGACGATGAAAGTCGTAACCTGCAAGGCGCTCATTCTGACCTGACGAAGATTCTGAGACATCATTATCAGTAGGCCTAGACGAAAAGTTTAAAGAGCCAGCGACCATTGGTTTTGATGTGTCTTTTTTCGTGTATGAAAACTTTATTGATGGTGAAGAAATATCATCTGTGTATGCGTCATTTGCGGATAAAGCATTCCGCCGAGGTGGCATGGATCTACAGGTTAACTTCTTTTCGGGTAAACTATTTGAAGAAATTGGTCTAACTCGGACACACCTACGTTTGCTTTCATCGTCGTTGAGTCTTGTACATTCTCCATTTTCAACACTGCTACTTTGTTCCCTAATCTCTTTGTTTAAAGTAATAGGCTCCGTAATATACCCCTCTGTAGGACTATTTATTTCTATACCTGCTGTTTGTGTAACTGATTTATGCAACTCTTTTTTCGCTTTTTCATAGACTTCCTCTGTATTTGATCCATCCTCTTTTTTTATCTCTTCATATTCGATGCTGGCAGCATCTTTTCCTTGTTTCTCCAAGCTAGCTTCAATGAAACTATTCCAGTCTGATATTCCACTGCAAAAGTGATTATTCGAACAAAGATATTCAACGTGAACTGTACCTGAAAATGACAATAAACCAGTATTATAGTTAATGAGCCTGATTAATACGACTAATAGACGGTAATATGCGCTTCAAAATGGACCGTTTGGGTAAGCCCCGCCCCTTGGATATTGTTGCTAAGTTCCTACGAGACGGCAATGTAAAATCATACGTAGACACGTGTGTTTGTGGGACATCATGTGTGTTTGTGAGACACACGCGTATTCCTGGTCCTGTTCTGATTGGTCAGTTGTTAAGTTTGATTGACACTCCAGGTATATCCATTTTGGACTTATTTGACTTGTTCACTTCGTTGAGTACGAATTTTCGTTGAGTAGGCCTATTATTTTCATTCGACTGGTTCGTAAAATAGACTTCGTTGACAACGAAAATTAACGTAACAGAATGCGTTAATCAGCGTTAAGTTATCCACGTGACCAAAATAATATGGCCGATTGGTCAGTTTAGCAACAACATTTGCGTTAATATAATTTAGATTAAATTTCAAAAAATAAAAATTATAATATTTACCTACATTGCAGTTAAAAAATAAATGTAGGCAAACAGAATTCAAAAACAGGATGAAAACATTATTTTACGAAAAACCCATACTGCCACAATCCGAAGCAGCCCTGATTACGCAGCGTGTATCGCGGTAACTATGCAACCACTTTGTTTTGTCGAGTATTTACCAGTTTTCTATTCGACTGGTCGTCTTATCTTAGTAAAGTAGGATTTTACCACTGCGTAAGTGGGCATGGTTTAACGAAGAACGACTAGTCGAATACGGCCTATGCCTACAGTATCTCTGCCAGAGATAAGTGAAGAAATTGAAAAACAAAACGCATTGTTTTAATTGCTTGCTTTATATATATGTTAGCTTTCAATTATCAACATTTAGCTTTCAATTATCAACATTAAAACGAAATATTTTTTCTTGCTAATTATCATACCATACAGACACTTAAATAGTAATTTTTCTTTATATCATTTTGTATCATCTTTGCGTAGATTATTTCAGTGATTTCATTTACAAATGTTTCCAGAGAAAATTCTGTAAATCAAGCAGTTTTTAAGCAGCATTGAGTGTGAAGAACACAAAACATAATCTTGTCTCTATTTTGGTGACACGTTTAAAAGCTAACGTGTTTAGAAATAGCACGTTTTGTATATTGACGTATTCAGTGTTACGATATACGATATATACGATATATGAGATGAACTTTATTGCAATTTTTATCATATGAAAAATACAATTCAAATTGAAATTTAACAAATGGAAACATGCAGTAAAAAAAAAAAAACATAAGAAAAGTGTTTAGCAGCAAAAGTGCTTGGGTACGGTATTTGATACAGTATACCCTCTGCACTGTTTTCACAATGATTTAATTTAGAAATGTTCGTAGTGAAAAGTCTGTAAATCAATCATTTGATACGTTTTTAAGAAGGTACACTGTGAAAACAGCATGGAGTGCGGAGAACACAAAACTTCACACAATATTGTCTCTTTTTGGTGAAACAAAGCTAAACGCGTTTAGACATAGCCGGGTATTTAGCATACACATTGTTTTTACTGTGTATTCATTGAAAACATTAAATACACTGATTAACTTGTGCATTCAATATTTTCATTAATTTTTGTAATTTTCCTGACTTTATCAAAGAGAGGGATTTAACCACGTCATTGTAGTTGACATTCGCATACGCACCTTCATTATATCTCCTCTTACTCCAAGCTTCGATGTCTGGAAAAAATATTTTAAAATTATTAATATTATAGATAAGTATGTCATTATCACATGCATGGGAATTCTAGTACCGGAATATAAATTATCTTACCAGGGCGGATCCCAAATTTTTTAAACGGGGGCGGGGTGGGGCAAATTTGTTGTCAGAATAGATTAAAGTGACTAGCGCTTATTTCAATTCATAACATTGATATACATTGACATTTTAAAACTTAGTGGCAAAACGTGTGGGGGGGGGGGGGGGGGGGGCACGGGGGCACGTGCCGCCTACTGGATCCGTGCCTGCTTACGGCAGTTTTAATTTTGTAATTATCAGTTGTACTTTGAAAGCCATAATTTTAATCGGCGTTTATCTATAACACTTGTGAATGTTATATAAACATGCATTATTATAGGGCGTACGATTGTGTAAGAAATGGTAATTTTAGGTAATTACTAAACTACGGTACTTGACTGTGTTTTTTTTGGGGTGGGGGAAGCGACTGGGGCACGAGTCATTTCTTGGGGGGTGTGCGCCCCCCTCCCCCTCCCTAGATACGCCACTGTAACTAGGCTGAATTATACACAGGCGTGGACTAACTCATTCTACAACTTTCTTCAACCCTTAGGGTCACATCATGTCCAATCAGCTGCAAAGAGGCGCACTTTGTCAACAACAACTGAATGAATGAATGAATAAATGGATGAATTAATGAACGAACGAATGAATAATAAAGAAATGGATGAACGAGTGAATTATTACATGAATGGAAAAACGCATGAATAAATGAAAGAAATAATGAATGAATTAACGGATGGATAAATTAAATTAACCAAATAGAAGTATGGATGAATGTTTGGATGGATGGATGTTTGGGTGGATGGAAGGATGGGCGGACGGATTAACGAACGAACAACAAACCAACTAACCAATTACAGACAAAAATAAAATAAATACTGTAATGCTTACCAATGTAACTGCTGTCGTAATCTGGTTCAATTGACCAACCAACCAGCTTCTCCCATTTTCTAGCCTTAACACTGAAGTGGAAATAATAAAACATGTTAGGCCTAGGATTATTATGTATTGAAAAAACCCCGCATCGAACTGGTTACCTTACAGTATAGTGACTGTCATACCCATCCGTTCCGTCATTTGCTTGTGTTCTGGTTTGTTTATAAAGTATTATTCGTTCATTATTTTATTCATTTATATTTTATAACTTCACAACTATTACAAACGCTAATAACAAGACACCCAGTGGCAAATTTTAACAAAACTAAATATTGACTATTAACGTTTATGATAAGATTATGAAAATACACAAGGTTGTGAATGTAACAGCTCTATCATATGCATCATTATCTGAACTATGCGTTATAGCTCTCTAATAAAGATAAGATTAAAATTGCCCGAGTACCCTCTCTGTCTATGTTTCTTACTTCCAATATAATGGTCACAACAAACGCAGTCGTATATCTATATAGACACGAATAACCATTACTTATATAATAATAATAATAATAATAAATAATAATAATAATAATAATAATAATAATAATAATAATAATAATAATAATAATAATAATAAATAATAATAATAATTATTATTATTATTCCAACAATAACATGAAGCGCCACTGATAATTACTTCGGTTTTTTAAATGGCGCTATATAAGTTCTTACCTTATTATTATTATTATTATTATTATTATTATTATTATTATTATTATTATTAATAATAATAATAATAATAATAATAATAATAATAATAATGTATTCAAGGAAAAATTACACGATGCAAACCACACGATTGAATTGTTAACACATGTTCTTGCTACGTGCCTTCTGATATTGAGGTGTATGCCTATAGACATCGGGTTTGAAACAACTTAATTATAAACACTAACTCTACCTTGCCGAAATATATTGAATGATTCTCAAGCGGATTCATGTTACGATGAATATGCATTGTTCACTGACTGAACATAATTAAGTTAAAAGGTAACCTTTGCTAAATATCATGTAAAACTCCAGACAAATACAGGCGTTGGTTTACATCCTAACTACGGTGTGTGACACTTTTTTTCAACAATATGCGCGCCTCGTCAACATTAATCTAGTGCACGCGTATAATTTGCTATCGCCTTACCGTAGCTCTATACACTTTTTTTAAATAAATAAGAACACATTTTATAAGAACACTGAGGCTGAAATTGCTTAAAAATTAAGAACAAAATAAGAACAAATTGAGGCTGAGGTAAAATGTCAAATGAGGTTTTTGAAAAACCAAAAAATTACATCTGTACCTTACGTGCAGTAATGTGGGTGTGACTATGTAATACCCTCTATAATCAGGTGTACTGTCATTTTGGGCCATTTTTACCAGGCCTTTTTTCTGGGGCAATTTTTCCAGGGCATTTTTTCAGGGCCCATTTTTGCTGTACAATAATAATTTTCTATGTTTGAAAAGTGTGTAAAATAAGAACAAATTAAGAACATTTTGAGCCTGAAATCGGCCAAAAAATAAGAATACTGAGCCTGGGTAAAATTTTACTGGTTCTTATAAAAAAAAAAAAGTGTAGTCGTAGGATCCATCCTTGACGTATTTTGACACCAGGGCAAGCTCGATATTTACTTAGAAAACAACTAACCGTATTATGAGGACGTCAGTCCAACCATATATGTTTCCATAGACACCGAGTAACATAATCTAGGAATGTTACGATGCGACTGTTCGCAAAAGGTACGGTGCCTTCTAATGCCTATATTTCATCTATGTAAAAACACTACTTATAGCATTATACCATAATTACATTTATTATATACATTATACTACAATATTTTTAATTAAACGGTAGGCATATCTTATTCTAGAAATTATAGTATATGTTGCTTTTTAAAATACACAAATCTCCGAATTTTTATAGGCCTTCTACGAGTGCAATTAGGCATATCTCACACGTAACAGATGGGTTGATCTACTAATTGCCAAATCAGAGGGAAGCACAATATACCGGGGATTTTGCGCATATTTCCCCTGGATACCTAAATGTTCTTACCATTATCAGGGAAATAATTGGACCAACGATGTTTGCCTGTGACCCGGATGCGACCCGTATCATTCACCAATGACATTTGATGCTCAGGCATTATTGAATTAAGCATACCAACAAGTGCAAGGTCATCTGATCACGCTAAAGCCCCCTAGTTCTTAACAATGCTAATATACATGTAATATATATATATATATATATATATAAATCTCTGGTCTTTCCTGCACCAGGCTGAAACCAGAATTAGGCCTAGCAAATGATGATACCGCCATAATTTAAGTAAGTGTGATCACACAACAAACCAGTGTTAGCGTTTGTTACCATGGACACACCTGTCTACACGTTTTAATTCGTAGGTCGAGAACTCAGAGATGTACCGTATTGCATTGTATTCAAACAATAGGGCCTAGTATAAAGACTTAAAGTAGTCGTGTGGATGAACGAATGCCGAGTTGATTTCTGAACTAACCATTCGAGACAGTCGTAGGCCCAGAAGTTAGGCTAAAGTTTCTGCTCCAGTTATTATCTCATGTCTTATAATTGCGGCAATATATTTTGTGGGTGGCAATTGGATTGTAGTTCAAAGATTTAAACTAGGCCTACAAAAATACATTTAGGCCCGAAATTACTGGCAATTTGCTAACTAGGCAATATTGATCTGCCATGATGGGGTATCATTGATAGCGACTACGGATTACTCCCCCAATTTTCAACTTCCCCTCCCTCTAAGGGAGAGTTACCCTACTTACCTGGCTACTAACTTCTTTGTATGCTGGTTCCGTTGAGTCATTATCATATAATTTTCCTGACAATCATCGTTAGTGGAATGTGCTCGTAACGTCCATTGCTAATACTGTTCAAATACTGTCATGATTTACACTGTAACGCCAGTCGATGTGTGTACTTTGAGAATTCGTTGTGTACAACCTAAATAATGTTTTGTTCATTGTGGACACATATAAGACGTTTGGGCTCTTCACACATATCACAATAGTCGTTAAGGTTGGTGGGCTGTCGTCTCACTGTAAAATGACCTCTTCGTTTTGATACGGTCGATCAATGAAGGTAAACGGGGAGTCGAATTAACCCTTTAACTCACAACTTAAATTGTTTCAGGAGCCAACGGACTTCTTCGATCACAGTGGCACCATTCAAATTATTTCTGGAGAGATGTGCCTAATAATTCTTACATGATATAACCGAAGAATATCGCCGATTCGTCAAATCTCAATTAAAATAATCACCATTTAAATTAATTCTGGAGAGAAGTGCTTAATAATTCTTACATGATATAACTGAAGAATATCGCCGATTCGTCAAATCTCAATTAAAATAATAATAATTAAAAAAAAAAGATTATTAAAACGAACGTGTATCGTATTATAGAGGGTATTATTATTATACAGTCACCTACCGCAAATAAGGTACCGTACTCGCGCGAATAAGCGCCCGGGCGCTTAAAATATTTTTTTTTTGTGCACTTTCTGAGGGGCGCTTATGAAAAGAGAGTCAAAATTGAGGGAGCGCTTATGGAAATAAATGAAAATCGAGGGGTTCTTATGGGAAATTATTAAATTCAAGAGGCACTTTTTAAATGAAAAAAAGAATACCGTATATAAGGACATTATGAATGGTGGCGAAAAAGATAATCGTCCAGAGAACACAGTGGCTCATGACAAGAATGCGTGAATATTTACATAACAGCAAAATAGCAGATGCAATTAGTGGTGGTGGGAAGTGGTTAGCTTGTTGGTCATCGGACGATTGAGATTAGCAGGATGGCAGGACCATTGTATTTTTTCTTGAAAACTCAGATGAGAATGTGCTAAAGGTCGGAAAAAGAAAAAGAGGAGTAGGACTAGGCATAGACAAATATGTAAAAAGAGTAAAGTTGGAAATACACTATCTGTCCAGGGATCAGAAATCTCATCTATCCAAGAGAAATATCCTCATTTTGATATTAACCTAAGAAGAATGTGATTCCACTCTGCAGTTCAAATCATGCCAACAACCACAGTCCCAGGATTGATTGGATTATTGACTTGCTAAAAAAAATCTTAATGTATTATTGACGCGAGCGCTTATTCAATTAGAAGGGGCGCTTATTCAAACGGGGCGCTTAAGGAAATTTTCACGTTAGGAGGGCGGTTATTCGAGGGGGCGCTTATTCAAACGGGGCGCTTATTCGCGCGAGTACGGTACAGATAAGATTTGTGGGGTTTTTCTATTTACACTAAAATAAAGACCTCATTCGAGATTTTTAGTACCGGTAGCTTAGCCGCAAATTGTCCTTAATTTCTAAGCCATTTCAGCCTTACTGTTCTTATAAAAAAAAGTTACATACCGTAATATTTGTTGGGTTAAACCCTAATTGCAGAAAAAAAAAATCACAAATTACAAATATATGCTATCTGTATCAGGGGAAGATCCAGAATATTTAAAACGGGGAGGGGGAGGGGAGCACAACAGTTTCAGAACAGATAAGTGAGTAACACATAACACTGATATGAATTGAAATTTTAAAAAGTAAGTATCAAAACGGGAGGTGGGGGGAGCGTATTATGCACAGATGGTACGCTTATATTTTTTTTAAAACTCATCAACTGCAACTGATCGACAACAAATCTAATTTATCTAATTTCTACCATCTATTCAAACATATTCTCATTTTGTCGATATGAAGCCAAGTTTTAGAGATTAATGATTACAAAGTTCAATGTTATTGACGCGAATAGGCCTAAAATGCTTACCAACCAACCAGAGCTCATCATAGGGCTTGAGTTTATCCCCAGTTTCTGTAGCAGGAATCGCAGATGCGTGATTATTTATTTATTTTTTGCTCAAAGGGCGTTTACCCTACCAAATTTACGCCACTGTAATGAGGATCTCACATGATAGTCTCGCTGGATTGACCACCAATACAAAACATTTAAGAAATAGAACACATAATATAATAACAATACTTTCGATTATTTAGGCCTAAGTAGTTGTGTGGGCAAAATAGAAACAAACTTCACTGAATCATTTAAGCTGATTGGTGAAATTTCCGACATGCAGTATTGTTCAAGTTCAGGATAAAATTAAGTCGTAGGCTGATTTCAGTATTATCAGAGAGGAATCGAGTGCATGGGGGGATCCAGAGATAAATCCCACGCACGAAAACGATTGGCTTTTCTCCAGATGGGGGTTCGGGGTTGTCCGACACGAGGGAGGGGGATGCCCCATATCTATTGCACCTAGTTGGCACTGCCACTCAGAATTAATCAACTTTCCTTTTTTTAAAATTATATTTTATCAAATATATTTAATGTATATTTATTTACGCAGATTTACCTTTGAATTACTTTGAAAAAAACCACACAAACGATTGAAATTGTTTTATTCAAACTATAGCGCTTAAACTATTAGAGTACACACTAATGAATGTCACTTTCACATGAATGTTAAGCTCTTATATTATTCAGGGGTGGCGCCAGCGGGGGGGGGGGGCTTC